GCGTGCAATGCCGCCCGGCCGTCCCCCTTCCCACCGGGTTGCAGACCTGAAGCCGGGAGGCCGGCCGAAGCCCGTCTTCCCCCGACTCCCTCACCCCGAAGACCTGGCCGGGCGACGCCAAGGCTCTTGCAGGACACAGGGTCTCCCAGGATCCTTCTCCCTCCACGTCCTACTCCTTCCGTCCTACCTGCGGGGCCCGGGTCCTTCCTTGGACGGTCCTGACCTCGCCAATATCCGGCCCCAGGACGCGGCTCCCCGCGCTGTGCAAAAGCGCCCTCTGGCGGGGGTTCCCGGGATGTGCAGACGCTCGCGGCCGAGGCTGCTGTGGGCGGGGCGGGAAAGACTCCGGACCCTCGGGGGTGTAGGTCTGATGCAGCGGTTCTCAACCTGTGGGTCGCGACCCCTTTGGCAGTCAAACGACCCTTTCACAGGGGTCGCCTAAGACCATCCTGCATATCAGATATTTACATGACGATTCATCACAGTAGCAACATGACAGTGATGAAGTAGCCACGACAATAATTTTATGGTTGGGTCACAACATGAGCAACTGTATTTAAAGGGCCAGAAGGTTGAGAACCACTGGACGTAGAGCTGGGCACCTCTTCCTCCCCCTGGCTCCTCTCCACCTCTCAGCCTGCAGGCAGGGCACCCACTCCTGTGTGAGGCCCTCCCACCGGTGGGGAAACGGGCACTCACAGTGGGTGAGGCAGCCTGGCTCCAGGCCTAAATCTCACCTCCTCTTTCACTGGGGCTTCTGCTGTCCTGGTCTCCTTCGGGAAGGCCCCGTGGAGACCGAGGTGGGAGGGGCAGGTGGGGGCCTTCTTCCCCAGGCTTCTTGCAGCCGGGCAGCTGTGTCCCTGTCCCCATGGCACTTCGCCCTTCCGGTCTCAGCAGCTTCCCTTTCAGCCAGGGTCCCTCTCACGCCTGTAGGACCTCAGCAAATTAAGAAGTAAAAGTCCCGCCCTGACCGGTTTGGCTCAGTAGATAGAGCGTCGGCCTGCGGACTGAAGGGTCCGAGGTTCGATTCCGGCCAAGGGCATGTACCTTGGTTGCGGGCACATCCCCAGTAGGAGGTGTGCAGGAGGCAGCTGATGGATGTTTCTCTCTCATTGATGTTTCTAACTCTCTATCCCTCTCTCTTCCTCTCTGTGAAAAATCAATAAAATATATTTTAAAAAAAGGAAGTAAAAGTCCCTTCACATTAGGTCTGGGGAATCTCTCGGGGGTCCCATCAGTCAAGCACAGAGGAGGAAGTCTCGTGAGAAACGTTCGTAAGACTTGGCAGAGAGGGCTCACGTCCCCAGGTACCCTCCCTCAGTAGGAATCGGCGTCAATCATTTTTTAAAATTAAAACCTTTTAAGAAATATATCTTTTAGCCCTGGCCGGTTTGGCCCGGTGGACAGGGCATCGGCCTGCAGACTGAGGGTCCTGGGTTCCACAAGGCCACATGCCCCGGTTGCAGGCTTGATCCCCAGTGTGGGGTGTGCAGGAGGCAGCTGATCAATGATTCTCTCTCATCATTGATGTTTCTCTCTCTCCCTCTCCAAAATGAATAAAAATATATTTAAATATATATCTTTTACTGATTTCAGAGAGGAAGGGAGAGGGAGAGAGAGAAACATCAATGATGAGAGAGAACCATTGATTGGCTGCCTCCTGCACGCCCCACACTGGGGATTGAACCTGCAACCTGGGCATGTGCCCTGACAGGGAATCCAAATGTGACCTCCTGGTTCTTGGGTTGATGCTCAACCACTGAGCCACACCGGCTGGGCAAGTGTTAACCATTGTTGTCCTTGCTGAGGATTCTTATTCCAGGGGCAGGGCACCTGCCTGGCCTGAAGTCGCCTGGTGAGAGGGGCAGGTATCTTGATGGCCGTTGCCTGGCACTGGCTTGTTCTCCCAATGGCTATCAGGCAGGCCCAACTACAGCCTCCCCTGGAGGTGACACTCAATTAGGCCAAAGGTTCTTCCATTCTTTGTACCACAGACACCTTCTTAGAATAATGCCTTTAAATGCACAAAATACCCAGCATTACACGGGAAAGCAAAGGTAATGAAATATTAGAAAGAAAAGGGAGTATGTATGTTTTGGTTAACTTATTAAATAATGATATCTGGTGGTGGCCTAGTAACATTGTTATTTTCAAGTGCAATTAGTGTAAACAATACAATGAGCCCTAGCTGGTTTGGCTCAGTGGATAGAGTGTTGGCCTGCCACCTGAAAGGTCCTGGGTTCGATTCCAGTCAAGCGCATGTACCTTGGTTGCAGGCTCCTCCCTGGTCAGGGACCCTGCAGGAGGCAACCAATCAATGTGTTTCTCTCACATCGATATTTCTGTCTTTTCCTCTCTCTTCCACTCTCTCTAAAAATCAATGGAAAAATACCCCCGGGTGAGGATTTAAATTATAATATAAATAAAATAAAAGATTGAGAAGTGTCTGGCCAGCGTGGTTCAGTGGTTGAGCGTCGACCTATGAACCAGGAGGTACCAGTTCGATTCCGGGCCAGGAAACATGCCCGGGTTGTGGGCTCAATCCCGTGTGGGGCTTGCAGGAGGCAGCTGATCATTGATGTTTCTATCTCTCCTCATTTCCTCTCTGAAATAAAAAAATAAAAAAACTGAGAAGCTAATTATCCCCTTTTAAAAAAGCAATACATTGGAACATCTGCAGCAACGGTAATGCTATGAAAATACACTTGATCGCTATCGGGTACTGCTGCTAAGACCACCGTGGCTGGTCGCCTAACCTCATCATTGAAGGAAATGCTACATTTCAGGAGTAAGTAGTGAACGCGCCTTCCCCACGCAGGGACTCCCTGATGTACAATGAGCCTCTCCTCTCGGTATTTGGTAAAAATGTCAAGGGCACAAGGTTAAGTGGGGAAGAAGAAAACGGATTATAAAACGGTGGATTTTCAGTTCATTTCATTTTTTGCCAAAAGGAAAAATAAACTAGAAAACAATCGTGTGTTATGTTAAACACATCTAGAACAGCGGGGCTTTTCTCTGCCTCTCACGGGGAAAGGGGGG